GGATTTGCCGTGCCAGAAACCAAGTTGGGCTTCCAGAAGGTCAGCCATGCTCAGGTAGTCAGCTGCTTCCCAAACAGTGCTTAACTATGCGTTTCCTGCGTTAAAAGAGCGCGTTTAGCGCAAGCAGTCTCGGGAAGTCCCTCTTGTGGAGCATCTCCAGAAGTTGCCCTCTGGGCAGTCTTATGCTTTCGCGTATACTAGTCCCCATATACTCTCCTATACAGCCCCCTTCCAGGAGTTTAGACCCTAAACCCTACTCAGGCCTTATGCCGTGCGCTCTTGTACCGCTTCCCGCGTGGCCAGGAGGTACGCAATGCCTAGGCTTCATCTACGCGTTCCTTTTGGTACGTCCTTCAAAGGGCACTCCGCTGACAAGACCCCCAAACCCAGAACCCTAACCCAAAGCCCCCAAACCCAGGACCCCCAAACGCCAACAACCCAAACCCTAAACTATCCTGAACTTAAACCCGACTACATAGTTGCCATATGATGTCATTGGTCGAAGCCGAGGCTTTGTGCAGGATGGTTCTCAAGAACTCGTAGGCCCACCCGAGGACCGGCGCTCAGCAGGCTGAGAGCAAACCAGCGCACCACAAATTGCCAGGTTTAGGGTTTAGGGTGCCAGGTTTTTGGGGAGCTTTACCCAGACCTCCAAAGGCCACTCAAGGTATTTGGGAGGTCCCGTTGCAGGGGTAGATGATTTTCATTTACAGTATATAGGGGTTCTATAGGGTTATATAGGGATAACGGAAAAGAAAATGGAAACTACTGTAGTATATGGGGCTATATAGGGGTTATATAGGGACAACGGAAAAATGGAAACTACTGTAGTGTACAGGGTTATATAGGGGTTATATAGGGATAACGGAAAAGAAATGGAAACTACTGTAGTAAATAGGGGTTATATAGGGGTTATATAAGGTATCTAGTGATAGCGGAAAAGAACATGGAAACTACTGTAGTATATAGGGGTTATATAGGGCTTATATAGTGGTCCCTAAACTAGAGGGTTAGCGAGCTTCGTGCTGAGGATGCGCAGGCTGAAATGAGTGTAGCTGGCAGGATTTGGTTTCAGCGTGTTTGGGTGTTGGTGCAAGGATTCAGCATCGCGAGTGCTTTGATGAATCTTCAAGCGGATGCAGAGCATCCGACTTGAACTACACAACAGAAGTCACAGACATGCCTTGCCGTACTAAACCGACAAGAACTATAACCCCCCTTAAGTAGATAGAATATGGTGTATATGGGGATCTTACTATAAAATACCCAAAGCCATATTCTATCTACTCAATGGGACCGTATACAGTAGGGTAATCGAGATCACAACAGGGGAAAGCAGGAGTGTCTCCAACTGTTGGGCTTCTAGTGCCTACCTGGGGGAACCCCATGTTGAGAAATAAGCGCTTGGTACCACAGAGGAAGATACACTCCCCCAAACTAACATGGAACTTATATTGTGCCCTATCAAAGGGACTGTAGTGTCTATAGAGCCTTTCTGGATTTCCATGTTAGTTTCCGGGAGTGTGAGTGTATTTCTGTATGACTCTACATATATTATGACTATATCATGAGAGCCAGCTTTGAGGATCAACGGGTGGCCCAGGCATTGGCCCTACATGAAATCCAACCCCCAAAGACCTGACCCTAAACCTTAAACCCTACACCCTAAACCCTAAACCCTGAGCTGCAATTCCAGGTTGCACCTGCTAGACTTCGAGTGACACTCGATGCTTCAGGAGGCCATAGCAGGGCAGGACCCTAGATGGTCAGTTGCCAGGGTTGAGGTTGAAAATTAGGGGTTCAGGGTTTAGGGTTTAGACGCAGGGAATTACCCAGGCCCTCCGAAAATTTCGGTCACGATGAGTTGCATTCACAACCTGGAGAGAATCAGGCGCTCCAGTTCTTACGAGCTTCTGGGAAACAATCCATGGCTCACATACCGGATGCATTCGTCACGTTTCAGAGCAAGGACATAGTCCATGAAGTCTCATGGCGGTGTAGAGGTTGATATACATATCTATGTATCTACATATACACACATGTTTTGACTAGTTTTCAATGATGTGTTCTGTGGATGTGTTTCTCTGGGCTTTGGGCCTGTGATACAGCAAACGACAATACGATGGCTCCAAAGCACGTACTGTGTCTGCGGGCTGATGGGATGAGAAGGATGCGTTTTGACAGGATGGTACAGGTTTCAGGGTCTGAGGGATCTAGCTCCTCGACAGAACTTACATAGAACAAATATAGAGCCCATTCCTGCGACAAAGAGGAGACGTTTGGTGTCTGCATAGGGTCAAAGAGCATGCGACCCCATCCAGTTGTAATCCCAGTATCCTCCCCATCCATCCCTAACGTGCCTATTTTTGGAGAGCTCCCCGTTGAAGCTGCTTGTGATTGTCAGCCATGCCGAACAACTTTAAACGGAACATCAAACGTACTTTCTTTTGAAACTGAGGTGCCCTTCGGAATCCTACTACTAGAGGTATGAAGGGACGCGATGATGGTAGTAGTATCATGGGGGGCAGCCTCCAGAATGATTTACGGAACGGTTTCAACAGTTCCTAGCTTTGGGGTCAATCTGCTTTAGCCAGAAACCCTACAAGAACGGCAGTTGGCTGGCATTTTGGGAGCCAACAAAAATTTGGGAGCCCCACAATGGGACGACAATTATGATATCATACCATATATATACACACATAGATAGCGAGACTGCAAGGCAGCCTGGTACAAATCTTTGGCTTTCCCCGGCTTCGCCACCACATTTTCTTACCATGCAGGAATGCGCTTGGCAATTCGACCATCTGAGTCACGGGTTGTTTTCTCCAACCCCCAAGGAAGTCAAGCATGTCTGGGAAACAATGACTTCCTTGGCCAATAGAAGACACTTTAAACTTTTTGGGATTCCTTTTTGGGTAAGCGTCAACTTTTTTAGCCGTGGCTATTGGGGGAGAGAGATGAATGGAAAGCAGGTGGCAGCCCAGTGCGCGGGAAGCTCAGCAAAAGTGGATGATGGGCATAGTCCAGCATGGGCTGCATGACAAGTTAACATTCCTCCCCTTTTTCCTCGTCAATAACCTGAGGTCATGCATGATTTACGTGCACCACTTGTAGGGGGAGGCTGGTAGGCTGATGGATTTACATAGGATGAAAGGTGAAGTGGTGCAGGGTCTAGGGTCTCAACAAGACAGAGAAGAGAAATCGCGCGGGGCGGGTTATGCTGTAGGACTGTCTCGCTCCAACCTTTTAACGGAATTCCAGGCGCCAAAGATTCCAGGTATCAATGGAAATGGGGAACTTGCTAGGAACCCAGCGACGGCATTTCTAACAACTTTGAATAAGCATCGTATCAGCGAGTGCTTGTTCTCGCCGTTGCTTGAACGGTGTTGCTGACCAGGACTGCCCGTTAAAAGTGAAATGGAGTACTTGATTTGGTTCAGCAGACAGTGTTGCGAGAAGTGTTGGTCTACTTGAGTAACTCTCCCAAACAGGGGATGCGTGGTTGAGCTTTCCAGTAAATATGCGCTACATCCTGGGACCGAATGTGTCTCAGACATCCCGCCCAAGCCCCGAATTCTTCATTGGATCATTGGAAGTGCCTGTTTTGATGCATGAGGATGCTATCTGTCCAGAGCTATCGATCGGAAGGAATGCCTGTAGATTTGTAGTTCCCAGGCCCCTGGGAGGATCTAAAAATGCCCAGAATAACTCCTATAATTGGGTCCTCTATATATACCCATAATGACCCCTATAGAATCCCCATACAACTCCCCCTCTAATTCTAGGGGGTCTAAGTTTTAGATCCTTTCGGGGTCTGGGTTGGGCTTTGCCGTGCATCCTTCGAGCCCACCCCCCAGTGGAACTCGGGCTTCATGAGCTCTGCACCATGCACAGCATGCCTGCACGAGATGCTGTATTCTGATTGCACTTGGGTTGTTGAGGGGTGTAGGGTTTAGGGCTCTAAGGTTTAGGGTTTAGGCTTTGGGGCTTTAGGGCTTAGGGCTTTATGCTATAGGGTTTTTGCGGTCTAGGGCTTTATGGTTTAGGGCTTGGGGTGGGGTTGAGGGCTTTAGGGTTTAGGGCTTTACGGTTTTCGGTTTAAGGGTTGCTCAAGGCGCCAGAAACCTTGGAAGAAGATTGATCTGGAGCTGGAAACGGCTTGAAGAATGGCCGCTGAACAGAACCCTCTTCACCCTCGACCCTTTAATTTCATAGTCCCCCTTAAGTAGATAGAATATGGCTTTGGGTATATAATTTAAATAAGATCCCCATATACGCCATTTTCTCTTTACTTAAGGCGGACTATATACCAGCCCCAACCCTGAAGCAACCCCCTCAAAAGTTCTAACCTTTCAAAGTAAGACATCCCACCACAACGCTATACTTGGGGGTCAACATCCCGAATGCCAAGGTCAAAGATTCGGGGCTTAGAGTGTAGTGGTTGACAGAGTTTAGGGGTTCTGGGATTAAGGGCTCAGGGCATAAGCACTTATAAGTTAGAAAAGTTAGGGGTGTAGGGCTTCTTTCAGCTCAGGCGCAACACATCATTGAGTGGAACAAGGCCATCGACAGGTGTAAGCAAGCAGGCTACTGGCAACAAGCATTGTCATTTTGCCAGGAAGTTTGTCAAGGCGGGACGTCTTTAAACTCCCCAAGCCCTATACCCTAAACGCTCAACCCCAAACCTTAAATCCTAGAGTGACCCTAAAATTCCATACAATAACTCCTATGAACTATGGTCTGAGCTCCTCAAAGGGAGTTATATAGGGGATTGTACAGGGAAGTCTTACAGTGGCGATTATAGGGGGATACTAGGAGTTTAGACTATAGCTCACATATCCCATATGCTGGAGAGTAGCTTTCTTGTTGAAGCCCCAGGTCAGTTGCAGCCGACCATCGTCACCGAACCTGTTTTTGCAGCTTCTACGTTTTGCTTATTCTTGTTTCTAAGAAGTATTTTGGAGCTTTAATCGGGCTTCCCTAGGCCCTGAAGAAGCCAGGTCACCTATGGTACCACGGCCAGTTCCTGCGAAAAGGGCTCTAAGTGGAGCCATGCAAGGCATCTGCTGCAGAGGGCGCTCCATGAAGAACTGCAAATGGACGTCATCACCTGGAATTCAGTCATCAGTGCCTATGCGAAGTCTGCAGTCTGGCGCCAGATGGTGCCATTATTGGCACAGCTACGCAAGAGGGGTCTGCAACCCACGACCATTACGTACAGTGCCGCTATCAACGCACACGAAGCTGAGGGACTTTGGGTTGAAGCTTGCCTGTTTAGGGAAGCATCCTGAAAGGGCTTTAGCCCCGACATTTGCTTCAGCAGGACCCTACCCACATCAGAGGGTCCCAGCCATAAAGTTCGCAAACCCTGTGACTCAGCACCGTCCCACTTGAATAGCACACATTACAGGTTTCCGCTGGCGATGCAGCATAAGAATCCTCGTTACTAGCTGGGCCACGGTTGTAATAGAAGTTGCGCAAGTGATTGCGGCAGGGTGCCTCACACCCAGGAATCCCTGTGCTATCTGGATGACATTCGTACCGACAAACTTGCTCCGACGCTGGTCACCTGCGGTGTGGCGATCAGTGCCTGCGCAAAGGGTGAGATGTGGCAGGGTGCTTCTGGGCTCTTGTAGAACAAAAAAGTTGTTTTTTTTGTTATGGATACCTGGGCCCAATATCAGTAAAAAGCAGATGTTTTTAAATGGTACTTCAACAAGACCCCAGGCTTTGCAATTGCAGGTCGAAGCTCGGCGCACTTCCATGCCTGCTTTCCCAGCCCGCAGCCTCTTCTGTAAGCAGACCTGTGTTAAGGTTTGGTGGTAAGTAGGAGCTCAAACTTGCGCTAAGAAGTGGTTGCCCGATACGACTTTCGGGGCGACTCCGCCCAAAAATTCTGGATCCTGCGTATGATTTTGCGAACAACCCTTACCATGCGGCATAGGAACATAGCCCTCCACAAATGCCTGGCAGAGACTTTACCCTTAACCCTGAACCCTAAACCCTTGGGCTTTCAGAGTAGTCTTGGGTCTTCTCTGGCATCATGAGGGCTATTCTTGAGAAGGGATCATATTGCTGCCTGCAATGTCAACAGGCTTGTTTGGGAGTCTCCTTCCAGATGCTCCTAAACCCTAAATCCCTAAACCCCTAAACCTCCAAACCCCTAAACCCCTAAACCCTAAGTCCCTAAATCCCCATGTTCCTAACCTTATCAGTGCTTAGGGTTCCATTCTTGGAAGTCGGCGTTTGAATTCTGCTTTCAGGGCAGGCTTGGTGTATTGTATTGTCCATAGGGGCCTCCAAAATAGTTTTAATTTTTGATGCTTGTGATCCTAATGACAACCAAAAGTATGGATTTTGGTGGGCTCTGAGTCAGGTTTAGTTGTATTGAAGTGTAGTGTATTGTTGTCTACGGCGCACAAACGTGCTAACTCTTCCACAGGCGATGTGGGCATGTACCTAAAAGCGTCTATGAGAACATGGAGTGGGGGGGACTGCGAGGCGGTGTTCCTGAAGGGGTCGTGGATACACGTCCTCATGACATACGGTGCATAGTAAAATTCCTGCATGACCTCAGGTACCCTAAACGTACTAAACCTTGGGAGCATTAGGGTATCAAGGTCGTGCAGGATTTTTTGTATCAACAGTAGAGGGTAAGAAGAGACCAGGACACGCGACTGCAACGGCTGCAGCTGTCCGAAGTTTCCTGCAACTCCGCCCTGGCCGCCTGCCAGAGGGCGGACGATTGGCCAAGGTCCCGCTTTATGGTGGTTAAGGGTTTAGGGCTCATGTACCGTTCCTAAACCCTAAGCTCTAAGCCCTAAATCATTTGCAGTTACCTTCTTTCCTTTTTGGTAGAAGGGGCCCTTGCAGGATTGCCCAAGTAAGGGCATACCATGCTAAGGGAACCAGATTCACAACGGATGAAATGGAAGTTTTGCACTAAGGTTCACATGCAATGCCACATTCCACTTACGAGCAGGCTTTGTATTCAGTAATGTATGATTCACCTTTTTGTGGCCGTAAAAATGCCAAGGTTTATCAAAGTAACCCCTGTGTAATAACTAACTGGACCCATAGAATCCCGCCAAAAATGCCCAGGGCCTCTACAGGGGCACCCCCAGGTTGCGGAACTGTAAACCCTAGGCCCGTACCCTAGATATGTGTGTGCTTACATGAATACACATCCTTGTTTTAAACGTGCATATGTCTAGATAAATATATATATATATGTATATATATGTTTATATACATTGACTTGCAAGGGACCTGAGGGTACACCCTTGTTGAAACTCAATGGCTGATCAGCATCCCCGATGCCGTAAACCCTAAAACCCTGAACCCTAAGCCCCAAGCCCCACGCCCTAAACCCTAAACCGCTAAACCCTAAGCCCTAAACCCTTAACCCTAAACCCTAAGCCCTGAACCCTTAAAGCTAAGCCCTAAACCCTTAACGCTAAACCCTAAACCCTTAACCCTAAACCTTAAACCTAAACCCTAAGCCAGCACATTCCAGGTCGATTCTGCTCTTGTCGGAGTTGCAGGCCCTATCTTCGTGGCCATCGAACCTGGGTCGCATCTTCTTACCTTTGATTAGCTGGGAATGAAGGAATGAAAAACAAAATGGAAGCTACTACTGGGTTTAGGGTTTAGGGTTTGGGCAGAAACTGGAAACTACTATAAGAATGGGGTTATGTAGGGACTACTATACGGATCCGTTCCTTCATTCCTAGCTAACCAAAGGTAAGTCTTTGGGGGTTTTCTCTGAAATTGAGGGAAAGGGTTTATAGGGATGTCTAGAGTTTAAGGCTCAAGGATTCGTGTTTCGGATTCAGGGTCTGTGTGTCCAAACACGTGAAAATGCAGGTTGAGGAGCATGTTCTACTTCAGGAAGAGTCTGGGGGGCACGCCTAGGTAAACCCTAAACCCTAAACCCTAAACCGCACGCCTAGGGGAACCCAGGAGCAAACCGCAGATGGCAGCATGGTATGTCCGGCATCTGGTTCAGTAGCCCCAATATGGCCCATTGTATAGTAGTTTCCATTTCTTTCCATTCCTTCCAAACCTTAAACCCTAAACCCTAAACTCTATACTAGCTTCCATTTTCACGTTTCAGTATTGATTTTTCCGGAATTCTTCCCCTTCGTGTCGCATCATATGGGTTGCCATAGAGGGCGTAGTGATCCACTCTGTTCTGAGGACAAAACATGGTGCCAAATGATCGCGCACGTACCCCTAGCGTCACAAGCCTTCAACCCTGCTTCCAAAAGAGGGCGTGGCCCATTGCTGCGTCTTCCTTGTAGCATGGCGCCTCGCGCGAGGGGATACTTAAAGAATTGGGATGCCAATTTGTTTTCATTCGGTATCGCTCAAACTTAGGATCTCCTTGGATGAATAGTTCGGAGGAGCTCCTGGTTTTGAGAAAGTGTAGTACGACCTTCGTGTAGAAGCTTCAGTTCTTGCCGGTAGGATCCCCCCAAACCTTGCAGAATGAGAGTAAAAATGTATCTGTTGTATATAGTCCCCCTTAAGTAGATAGACTATGGCTTTGGGTATGGTATACTAAGATCCCCATATACCCCATATTCTATCTACTTAAGGGGGACTACACCCCCCCCAAAGCTGAGGATCATCACCTACAGTACGGCAGTGGGAGCTTGCGCACAGTCCGGATGGTGGGAGGCAGGGCCCCAGCGGTTTAGGGTTGAGGTTTGTGAATCCGAACTACTGCTGCCATCCTAAGTAATTCGTTTCCTCTAAGGTTGAGGTTTTAGGGTTTGGGGGGGTAGTCTTAGGGGGAAGGGATTAGTATGATTTGCAACACGGGGTTATTATACTTAGTTTGAAGATCTCTAATTCATTGGATAATTGCATACGGGGCTACGCTTCAATAATCTCATGTGGACGGAATGTATTGCCGTGTAGAACCAGAACCCGTCTTGGCGTGGAAATCTGCTCCAGTCCTATGAACCTCTCTGCAAACCCTTCAGGAATCCTTTCTCATCACCCACAGAAATGTGATAGGAAGTCTACGAATTTTGGAAAACCCATAGAAACCCCTAAGCCCTTAACCCTAAATCCTGATCCCTAAGCCCATCGAAATTATATGGGGGTCCTCACCCAGGCTAATCCAAATGAGCGTGCCTTAATTAAGGCAAGCTAACCTCCTGTGCCAACAAGCGGCTCTTGTTTAGGTACTGGGTTGGGGTTTGAGGTTTAGGCAAGCTCCAACTACCAAAGCCATCATCTCAGCAGAGTTATGTGGTGGTCATAGGGTACATCCACTGATTTATCTTGGACCTTGTATCCACATGACATTCGCAATCACTTGGGGGTTTTGTAAACGCATAGAAATCTCCTGACTTCCTAGAGCCTCCCTTGTCCGATGAACAGGGGCTGAAGGGTCTGTAGCAGGTGGTTAGGCATAGAGGGTAGTTGGAGGGACTTCTTCCTGAATCGAAAAATAGCGCGTGGAAGAATTTTGTGAGCCAGCCTTCAGCAAAAAACAGTAAGCCATGGAAAGGAGGTACAAGACCCACGTTCATTCTGTAGAATCTGCCACCATCACCATCTGCTCATCATTGTTTCAACTTCTTGCCGCAACTGCTTAGGTAAGATGAGACTGCGTGATTTATCCAGCATGTTCGGATCTATCAGCGGTGGGAGTGTTGGCAAAATCCTCATAACACCAGCTTATACATGGTAGATGAATGGTTTGGCTGACCCCTTCAACCTTAAGCGTATGCAGCTCATATTTCAGTCCTCCATCCTAGATCCCAAGCCCTGGACAGCGCATACAGCGTCTGTTTTTTTGCAGTCTAAGCCCTAAACGCTAAACCCTAAACCCTGATCCTAAACCCTAAACCGTAAATCCCAAACGTTAAACCATAAACCCTAAACCCGAAAGCCATCCGCAGGTTTCCAACACCCTGCTCCACGAAGCCAAGGTTCTGGGTCTGGGCATGAACGTGACAAGGTGCAAAGTTACCCCCTTCCCCCTGATAAAGGGTTTAGGGTTTAGAGTTCGGGGTTTAAGGTTTAGGGTTGACGGTTTAAGTTTTAGGGTTCGGAGTTTAAGGTTTCGGGTTTGGGGTTTAGGGCCTAGGTTCAATATTGGGATATTGAGTATCCCCTAAGCAGGGCGAATCATATTGAAATCAGACTCGTGGGCCCCACAACGCACAAATTTGGAGTTTAGCTATTGACAGCCCCCATCATAGGAGTGGCCATTTTCTCTTCCATTATCCCTATATAACCCGTA